CATTAGCAATGATGAGTCTTTGGAGGTATAAATAGCTCCTAAAAATGTAAAGCAAAGGTATGCAAAATCACCTCTCAAGAACACCAAATAGTGATTTCTTCTTCCCCTCTCTCAAAGAACTGACTTCCATCAGAGGGGATACGCCAGAAACAGTCTAGCGCCCTTGTAACCTATTTTTGTGTGTCGGGAACTGTCGGAATCGATCGAGCAACCCCTAGAGCAATTCATCACCACTTCTTAGGCTCCCTTTGGCCATTTTGGATTTTCCCTTTGCCACAGGATCATTCACTTTCTCGACGAACACAAGTTCACCACGGAAAGAGATCTGTTTTTTCATCTATTGTGCGGAAATCACCGCACACAACGATATAGATCTTTTCTCACGATATAATTAAAAATTTCTTAAGGCTGTTGCACTAAAGGGTGTTGCTCAAGTGAAGTCTGATTAATGACTTAAGTCTATGTTTTCAAAATACATTTAAGTTATAGAAAAAAATTTCTTGAAAAACACCTATGAGTTATTAATGAAACAATCACCAATTTCGTATTTACCTAATCAACCATAGTCTAATAAATTAAACAAAAGATGCTAAGGTCTCTACATCATTACCTTTGTCCCAAGCAAGAAGGTGCATACGGAGAGTCTTTTTGATGTAGCTTGAAGCATAATCTGCTCCCTTTTATTGACGTTTTTGAATCTTCAATATTGTAGCATCATGACAATAGAATAAGTTGATATTTACAAAAAGACTTCACGAAATTAGTCAATTACAAATATGATCCTAATAATATCATCCTTTGGGAATCTCGTGACAAAATACGCAAGTAAGAAATTTAAGATTATAATCTCCAACCCACTAGAACAAAAACGAATCATAACTTAATCTCAACACTCATGTACAAGTTTCTAACTCTCAATACTTTGTACCAGAACTATTTTCTAATGAATGCTTTGAAGATCATAGTTCTACATATCACTACTTAGAAGTAGGAGCATGCGTCAAGTTCTATCGCTTCTTCCTCTACCTCTATCTCCATGGGGTCAAATACATAACTCGCATAAGTTTCACTCTATCTCAATGACTCTTTCCCAAGAAGTCTGTGTGGTTTCCTCAATTGATCAGTCTTTAAAGTAACTATGCCTTAATTCAAACAAATCTTAGTGATCAATCAACCAAATGGCAGACCATTGCTAACCTAACCCTCATCATGCAAAAGATAAGCTCGTGGAGTAAGAAAAGTGGATATATGGGTTTTTGGGTCATTTGTTGTAATTGATAATCAAATAGGTCATCAAGTACACCCTAGCTAAGTCCTTGTGAAACTATCTCTGTCGGTCCCAACCATCAAGATAAAGGGCACTACACTATTTGTTCTATGATAATAGGTATCATTAGTGGCTCGGGGAAGCTGTAAGGTGGTGGCAATCAAGTCTACAGAGAACTCAAACAACACACCTTAGATATAGGTCGTGAAATGCGCACTATCGAATGCAATGTTCCTAATGTGTGTATGTGTGTTAGATCATGTTTTGTAATTGGCTAATTTTTGAAGTCTATATAAATCTTAACCTATTCTATGGTCATGATGCTATAATGATGAAGATCTGAAAGTGTCAAATGGAAAGAAGATGATCATGTTTCAAGCTACATCTAACATATTCTCCATATGGTCATTCTTGCTTAGGACAAAAGTAATAACCTTAGAGACCTAAGAACCATTGGTTTAATTTATTAGACTTAGGATGATTAGCGGTGTAATGGAATCGATAATTGATCCATGTATAGCTCCTAGGTGTTATACAAAGAAATTATTTTCTAAACCTCTTTGTGTTTTAAAAACATAGATTGAGCCATTAGTGGACCACCCTTCTTGAGCAACACCCTTTAATGTTCAAGATGACTAATTTTTTGCTTGGTTTTAGACTTAAAAACTCAATGGGGACCATTCTATGTTTGCTAGCTTTAGCTAGAGAGGTCTCTAAAGACTTAGGAAAAATGTTCAAGAAAAGGCTATGCGTTTGGCAGTGGACACCGCCCTCTGGGTCGTTCTAAGGCTACTCGAGTGACCTTGAGATGGCTCAAGTGGTCCTTAAGGTCGCTAGAGCAGTCCCAACTCTACCTTTCTAGTTTTAATGAAAATTTCATTCCAGTGACCGACGCCCTCCCACTGCTCCAGCGGTTGTTTACAAATCTATGTTTTCTTGGACCTCAAGATAAACCCTGTTTTGAGCTTATAAATTGAGGGATGCCTTCTCAACCTAGGATAAGCCTCTTGTATGCCTTTTAGAGAGACTTTATCTATCTAACACTTTGAGAGCTTGCGCCACAACCCTAGATCACTAAATCCAAAGGCTAACATCTTGTGATTCCTGTCCAATCTCATACCTTGAAAAAAAGAGCTTTGTTGGTTGAAACCAAACCCATTTGTAAGTGTTCATACTGAGGAACTTAGTAGAGAAGATTACTCAAGACCTAGATGATCCATTGCGGTAAAGAATTCAAGTGAAGCTATCCATAACATTGGTTGATATATAAGTCTTGAGTACTTGTAAACTGAATTTGGGGTAGTGAATTAGGCTTTAGTTGAACCTTAGAAAGGTTTTTCATGATTTTTACCAAGGAGGGTTTCCTTGCCAACAAATTGCTAGTTGTTACCCCCTTAGCTTTTGCCTCGGCATTGGCATGGGGCTACCTCACCCAAAGGTGCCCATTCCTTAGCCAAATTGGGTTTTGCTTAGTGAAGCAAATCCTTGGTGCAAACTTGGCTTCCTAAAGGACTTGGACTTGTATTTTGTTGGATTACAAAGTGGTTCAGCAAAGGCTTAAGTGACATGTAACGATTATGCCCCAGGCTTAAGTGACATGTAACGATTATGCCCCAGGCTCAAGTTATTATGACTCCTCAGCTCAGAGTACATCTATTGCTGTCAATGAGTTTTTTCTCACTAACGCTATTATAGGGGGTGCTCTATGAAGGGGTGCCAGGCCAGCTTCCCCAGCGACCCCTATGCCCCTAAGCCTTGGCACACAAAAGCAAGGCACGACCCCAACAAATGCTTGCCATGGGTGGAGGCAAGGCATTCCAACGTTCAAGACCCAAGATGCGGGGCCGATGATCAAAGGGACCCATTGTTGGCAGAAACCCCATGTATGGCTGAGGGAGGCAGTGCATGCATGGGCACATTGGGCATGACCAGTGAGTTAATTAAAGCCTCATGCATGGCTGAGGGAGGCAGCTCATGCATGGGCACATTGGATCCAATCAAAGGGTTGATTAAAGCCCCATGCATGGTTGAGGGAGACAACTCATACATGGACATGATTGCTCATAACTAGTGGGTTAATTGAAGCCCCATGCATGGCTGGAGGAGGCAGCTCATGCATGGGCACGATGGGCACAAGTAAGGCTAACTAGTGGGCTTGAATTATGGGGCAATGCTAGCCTAAAAGACCAAGCCATGGTTTGTGAATGTACATCAGGTGCTATTGGCTCAAAAAGAAGGCATGTGTACAATATGTGAGGTGGTTCCGAATAGTTGAGGCATGTGCACTACGGATGATGGTGATTCTAGATGGTTGCTGGCATGTGAATGACATGTTAGGCAGTTCTGTGCAGTTGTTGGCATGTGCATAACATGAGGGAGATGCTGACATGTGCACTCAACATGCACAGTAGTTGTGGGATATTGTTGGCTAGGTTAGCCAACCGTTGCAATTGCCCCTTGCCATGATCAACATATGTGAGAGTGGTAGAGGGACTCAGCCATGGTTAGTAGGCTGGGGGTGACTTTGTGGGTGAATCTGGTGTTGTTTTGCATTGCCTAGGCGGTTGGGCTTGTAACCACCAACTTTTATGCTATATATAGGCATGCTAGGATCTGCAGCGCAACCAAGAGAGTTGGGCACGTTTTTTAAGCAAACCCATAGCCAGGTTTCTTTTAGGCTTTGCTGAGAAATAATAATGTTTGGCCTTTTGGCCAATAATTCATGTATGCCTGCTGTGAGTTATGTGCTTGCCTATATTCTGTTCATTGTGTGCATTATTGTGAGCAATTGTGTGTATTGGCTGAGATAGAGTGTTGGATATCAGTGCCATCACGAGTTAAAAATTCGAGTGAGATTTGACCCTGTGACAGTTGGTATCAGAGCTATAGTTTTGATCATAGATGGTGGAAACGCTATTGAACTATTTGAACGTGTGACCCGTCTAGAGGATTTTTGAGGCACCCATGCTGGTGAGGATGAAACCAGTTTGTCTGTGCAAATGGGGCAATATGTTGCCCAGATCGCAGACTTGAGGTGGCCTTTGACAGTTATGTAGAAGACACTGATACTAGGATTGCGATGATGATGGAAGACGTTTTGTCCCGAACTGATGCTGTCAAGACCAACCCCAAGAATCTTGAAGACGAATTGACCTTGGTGTAAAGGCCATGCATTCTCAACCTAGTTCGGGTGAGACGTCTTCAAAGATCAAGGTCCCTGAACCTAAGGCCTTTGGAGGTGCCTAAAAGTGTCAAGGAGCTTGAAAAATTTCTATGGAACATGGAGCAGTACTTCAAAGTTACCTATGTGCCTGCAGGAGAGAAAGTGACCATAATTAGTATATACTTCTTCGGTGATGCCAAGCTTTGGTGGCGGACCCAAAGTGAGGATGATGATGTTGTAGGGCGAGCCAAAATCAAGACGTGGGATACTTTAAAGGAGTTGAAGGATCAATTCATTCCTAGCAACACAATGTGGATTGCTAGGTAGCAGTTCAAGAAATTAAAGCACTTGGGAATCATTCATGACTATGGGACAGAGTTTAGTTCTTTGATGCTGGATATCAAGAACATGTCCGAGGAGGACAAGCTCTTCAATTTTATGTCCAGTTTGCAAGGCTAGGCATAGGCTGAGTTATGTAGGCAGGGGGTGCGTGATTTGCACACTACCATTGTTGCTGCGAATGGCCTGGTTGACTTCAAAATGAGCAATAATCAAGGCCTTTTCGAATAGAAAAAGAGGGAAAGAGGCGGCAAGAAAGACCAGACTCACACTTCCAAAGATGCAGAGGAGGCGAATTGGAAGAAAGAGATGAAAGGAGGTGATTCTAAAAAGCTAGACAACAACCAGAAGAAGAAGAGCTTCGATTATGGTTGCTTTATTTGCAATGGCCCTCATCGTGCTAGAGACTGCCCCAAGTAGGAGAAGTTGACTGCCCTTGTCACTAAAAACAGAGATAACAACGATGATGAATACCCCACTCAGGTTAATCCTCCGAAATTGTTGCATGCAACCTCTATGGGAAAGATTTTGCAACCCTATAAGGGCCTTATGTTTGTGCAGGCCTGGGTGAACGAGAAATAAATTTTGGTTATAGTGGACACAGGTGCCTACCACAACTTCATTACACAAAGGGAAGTGGGAACATTTGGCTTGCAGTTGGAAGAGAACTCTAGCAAGCTTAAGGCTTTTAATTCAGGAGCAACTCCAATACGTGGCGTGTTGTAGCCAAGAAGGAAGACCTTGAAGTACTTGAGTACCACGTTCAAACGCCAACTCACGTTGGAACGTCCACTTGAATTGATTGAACACTAGGGTGATGAGTGCAAAGTGCCAAGTTTTGCATAGAGTGTGGAAATAGGCTTTCACAGAAGACCACAGGCCACTTGAGTGAGAGGGTTAAACCCCATCTGGCGTTTGAATGCCTATAAAGCAAAGACAAAAGAAACGTTTGAATGCCATACAACGTTCGAACGCCAACTCATGTTCGAACATTCTCCACAGACAAATTGCAGAGTGGTTGGATTTCACTTTGACTTGGGCGGCATACACTATTCTTTCACCACCCCTCCTTCTACTTGCCTATAAATACTCCCATTGTGGGAGCCTCATGTAGACTTGGATAGAGAGGGAGCTTGATGGGGGCTTAGACTCCCACTCATGTAGCTACCTTTAGAGATATATTTGCTTGTATCAAGGGAGATAGTTTATCTTTTGGTTGAGGAAGCAACCCTCCATTTCTTGGTTGAGGAAGCCACCCTCCAAATGTGACTAGCTTTCTTCTACTTTTATTGTTCATGTCTTTCATTTCCATAGCTTGAGCTTCCTTCTTTCTTAGAGGAGTGAAACTCTTCCATTTTTCTAGAGTTTTACCAAAGCCGTGAAGGTTGGAACGTGATTCACTCATTTTTCGTTGAAGATTGACTCCTTGATTATTGTGTTTTCATTTTGTAACTCCTTTACTTGGAGGGATGAGTATCACTCACTTTTCTAGCTTTACCCATGCCATGAAGAGTGAGTAGTTTCTCATTCACTCTTTAGTAAGAGGTGATGAACATGTATTGATTATTCAGAAGTTATATTTGTGTATTTCCTTTATGTTTTAATGCTTTATATTTCACTTATTGAATGATTGAATGCATCTAGCAAAGCTAAGGTACTTTGTATAATTATGAGTTTTTTCTATGACATAGAAGAGTCTTGCATGTAAAGACCTGTTGGTTTGAGGCAAGTACCCCCGACTAGATATTCATGACAACATTTCAATCTTCACCATTATTGTGCTTTATTTAAAGAATGGAACATTAACGCCACGGTTGGATACCTTGTAGAAACACTTGCTTGTTTGTAGACAGGTTGAGTCTCGACACAGACAATTCTTGTAAACTTCTAGAAAGGCATCAAAACTATGTGCTTAATTCATATAGTCCATCTTTATCTTTCAATTAACTTGCTGTTGACCCATGAGTTAATTGAGTTATAAAGCACAAATATAATAAATCGAATGATTAACTATATGCTCTGATCCTCGGGCTAAAGGGTGGCTGTTACATTTTGATAATTTATCTTATATTTTGTCTAGAAAAACCCATTGGAAAGAATCTTATATTCTGTCCAGAAAATCCCATAACTTTAAACTCTCAAAGTTTCTAGTTACTTGGTCTTTATCACTGCTTACTTCAAAAACACTAATCATAATTTCCTGTGGATTCGACTCTGGACTTAACTAGATTATTACTACAGTTTGATCGCCTGCACTTGGATGTACACATTTTGGATCAAGTTATAAGTTTTTGGTACCGTTGCTGAGGAACCATAATAGGTGTTTTAAGGTAAAAGGGAAAAAACCTCTCTTTTTGTATAGATACTTGCTTCACTGTGTATAAATTTATTTTAATTTTATGTCTAAGGACGCTCCTCACTATATAAATTTGCCGGCATAATCTTTTGGATCGTGAATCAACAGAACCACCTTCATCTAGATCAGTAGTAGACTCTTGTGAAAGTAGAATGACAAATGATGAGAGACGAAGAGAAATTCTTGTGAGAGAGGGGAAGTGCCTAACATTCGAACTCTGTGGATTAAATCCTACAAGAAATAGTATCCCCTCTTATTTTATCTTTTCTGAAAATGCACCCCTCTTTACTGTAAAGATGGGGATAGTTCAATTACATCCTCAACTCCATGGACTTGAAACAGAAAACCCATATCTACACATAAAAGAATTTGAGGAAGTATGTGGAACCTTTCAAGACAATTTTGAGCTAGCCAAAATGAAACTTTTTCATTTTCTCTAGAGGATAAAGCTTAGCAATGACTAAATTCTTTAAAAGCTCTTTCAATACCTGACTAGCGGGCACTACAAAATGAATTTTTTAGAAATTTTTTTCCTTTGCACTGCACTAATGTATTGAAAAGGCAAATCATAAATTTTTCGGTCAAAGAAGGAGAAACGTTTTACCAAAGTTGGGAGAGATTCAAAGATCTACTCCAGTCCTGCCCTGCACCTTGCCTTTGAGAATTGAACTTTGGTAAGATTTTTCTATCACTCCTTGCCCACTAGACTATGTTAGTTTGTCAAAATAATGGCTCAAGGAGAATTTATGAGTAAAAGTTCGGAGGAGGCATTCAATTTTTTTGACACCATATCTGACAATTCTCAAATGTGGGACTCAGTCTCCCCCTACCATTGTTGAAGCCAAACCATCTACTTCCCAAGGGGGTAAGTATGTCTTGAAAGATGATGATGACCTAAAACAAAAATGTCCACCCTGTCTCGACAGCTTGAAGCTTTAGAGATGAAAAAGATTCATCAAGTTGATTTTGGCCCTCCCATAGAACAAGTGTGTGGGATCTGTGCGCTGATAGGACACCCCACTAGGGAGTGTCCAACCATTCCAGCATTCAAGGAGGTTTTGTTGGAATAAACAAATGTCATTTCTAACTTCAACAAACCTTACTCCAACCTGTACTCTGAAACATACAATCCAGGATAGCGGAACCATTTGAACTTCAGCTGGAGAAACACACAACCAACTCCCATGAATCAACAATAAAGTTCACACCCACCACCTCAAGGACCTCCCATGTATCAACTATACCAATCACCACAAAAAAGGAGCCTTGAGGACACACTAAATCAGTTCATGCAAAGCCAAATGAACTACAACAATAATTCCACTCAGGCTTTCACTGATTTCAAGGCATAGACCACTCAATCTTTTGAGGATCTTAAAAGCCACATCCAAAAGTTGACTCAATACATGACCACACCTGAGAAGAGCAAGTTTACTGCCCAACCAAAACCACCACAAGGCCAATTCCATGTGGGAAACCCTTCAATCATGGAAAATCCACAAAGACCATGCCCAAGTTGTCACTACACTGAGAAATGGCAAGGTGACTGACAAGACCATTAGAAACGTGCTAATTCCTAAGCCAAAACCTGGGTCAATCCCAGTTAACTCACCAGTTGAGCCTGAACCAATTGAGCTAAACTTATAATTGAAGAAGAACCAAAACCTATGATTGAACCAGAGCCAGAGCCTTCACAGGAAGGAGAACCTTCATGTTCCATTCCTTCTCATTTTCCTCATAGACTCAAAACCATACAGAAGTTGAATAATCAGCCTGAAATTTACGAGCTTTTTAAGCAAGTAAAAATCAACATCCCACTTTCTGGATGCAATCAAACAAGTTTTCGTCTTATGCCAAGTTTCTAAAAGACTTATGCATAGTCAAGAGAAGCCAGAATGTCTAAAAAAAAGCCTTCTTGACAGAACAAGCCATTGCCCTGCTTCAACACAGAACCCCGCTTCAACACAGAACCCCTCCAAATAAAAAGATCTAGGGTGTCTGACTGTGTCGTGTGTCATTGGAGACTTCAAAATTGAAAAAGCACTGTTAGACCTTGGAGCTAGTGTTAATTTGTTACCATACTCTGTCTACCAGCAATTGGGTCGGGGTGAACTCAAACCCATTTGTGTCACACTCTAGTTAGCCGATAGATCTGTCAAAATCCCTAGGGGTATTGTCGAAGATGTACTTGTTCAAGTGGACAACTTTGTCTTCCATGTTGACTTCATCGTTCTAGATACTCAGCCAGCAAAGCATTCGGAGAACCAAATTTCCAATATTCTTTGTCGACCCTTCCTAGCAACTTTATATGCACTTATCAATTGCAGGAATGGAGTCATAAAATTAACCTTTGGGAATATGACTCTTGAGCTGAATATTTTCAATATTGCCAAGCACCCTGGAGAGGACAAGGAAATGGGAGAAATAAACTCCATTGAATCCTTCATACAAGAACATCTGAATGACACATTCTGTGAAAGCCCTATTGAATCATCTCTGTCAAAATCTATCACATTTGAGACAACAGATGATGATCCAAAGAATTGTCCCACTCATGCTGTTGAGACATGGACACCCAAATTCGAGAAACTTTCACCAAGTGGCACAAAGCCACTCTCATCAAGTGTTAGGCCACCAATGCCTAAATTGAAACCTCTCCCATCTGACCTCAAATATGCATTTTTAGGAGAGGATGAGTCATACCCAGTGATAATTTCATCTAAGCTTACAGACTTGCAAGAGTCTAAACTGATTGAAGTTCTTAAAGGCCATAAAAGCACCATTGGGTGGACCATCGCTAACTTGACAGATATAAGCCCGTTAATTTGCAATTATGCTATATACCTTGAAGAGGATTCAAAACTTTCTCGTCAAATGCAGTGACGATTGAACCCTCACATGAAGGAAGTTATGAGAATGGAAGTGCTTAAGCTCTTAGATGCAGGGATAATCCTTCCCATCTCCGATAGCAAATGGGTTAGTCCAACCCAAGTTGTGCTCAAAAAGTCTGGAGTCATAGTGGTCAGAAATGATGCCAATGAACTAGTACCAACTAGAGTCGTCA